CTACTGGGTAAGGTACTCGGTAAACGGGTACAGCCTGGGCTCCTAGCACAGAAAGGGAAACCATATGTCAAGTTAGATGGCACCTTGGTGTACGGGAACTTATGGGGCTAACTGCTAGGTGGGTACAGAAGATCAGAGGGTTTAAATAGGTAATCTCCTAGCAGATTGCAGGTATAGCAGCTAGTGTAGAACCTTCGGGCGGACTACTTAAATAGGCAACCAAAAGTTGTACGTGTGACTAGTTGCATGCTCATCAATATACTATAAATATCTTACAGACATATTGTCTATAATAAGATATATAAAAACACAATAAAGCGTTAAGCACCCGTGACATCGGCTTAATAATAAAAAAAAAAAAAAAAAAAAAAATTGTATTTGAACTATATTTTATAATAAAACTAGTATAGAAGATTATTAGAGAGATTAAGAAACAAAGACTTTGTTTTTTAAATTAGAGTTTTAATATTTTGGTATATTGTTTTAAAATATATTTCTAAGATAGTGAGTATAAAAGAATTGTATTGTGTATTAGGAGAGTTGTTTATTGATAATAAAAGAGTATTGAGAAGTGTAATAGGTTGAATAAATATAATTTGGAGTTGTTGAAGTGTATTAGTAGTTATATTAATAAGCAATTATTAAATATTTATAGTATTTTTAGAGTACAAAAGTATGTAAAGAGAGTTTTTAGTTTGAGAATATTTATAATATTTATTTGTTGTATATAAATTTGAATAATAAATATTAAGGTTTTGTATTGTTAAAAGATTATTTGTTAAGATTTTAATATAAAATGAGTTTTTATAAGAATTATATTCTAGAGAGAAAGTATTTTAAAAGTTGGATTTCAATTTATATCTGATGTGTAGTTGTTAAAATGTTTAAGAGATAACCGGGATATAAGTTCTTGAATTGTAATAATATTTTTAATAAAGTAGTATCATATAGATTTGTATAAATTAAAAGAAATACAGATTTGTAATTATTTGTTTCATGTAAATTTAATAAAAAATTAAAAAAGAAGTTTTAAAATAGAATTAATAATTAAGTAAACCACTAATTTTTAAGCTTTTAAAACATATTTGGGGCCAGGTTTGGGTAGAAAAAAAAAAAAAAAAAAAAGAAGATATATATACTGTATATATAAAAGAAAGTTTGAAATAGTTTAACTATAAAATAGTTAATTTTAGACTATTTGTAATGAATTTTATATCAAAATAAAGTTAGAAGTAAGCCGAAGGACTTTGTTTTAAAAAACAAGACCAGTTTTCTTGGCAAATTTTGAATAAACTTAAAAAGTATCTATTTTAATAGTGTATTATTTAGTTTAGTTAAAATTTTGTTACAAGCTATAAAACTTGGTAGTTATATATAAATTGGGGTGTAGAACAATAAAATTAAATAAAAAAATTATATTAAAAAGAGCAGTTTTGAGAAAACTTGAGTTTTTTTTTAGCAGATTTTGGTATAAGTAATTATCAAAAAGAGTTTCTATATAGTTTTAATATAAAACAAGATTAAAGATATAATACTAAGGAAGCTTTTTATATAATTGTATTTATTAATTAGTAAAAAATAATTAAGTTGTAAATATAAGATTAAAGATATGAACCTCTAACAAGTACACCAAGTAGGGATACAAACTAGGCATACCAAATTAAAAGCAGAAAGTACTTACCTGAAATATTAATATACCAATTTAGAAGTTGAGATAGTAGATAAAGTAGGTAAAGTGAGAAATATATAGAAGTTAATTAGAGATAGATAAGGATATACAAAATCTAGATTAATTACATATGTGAGAATATTGATGGCTCTAGTAAATTTTAGCTATAAATAAATAGTTTGTATAGCTAAAGTTATAGTTTCAATACTAATATGTAATAGAGAAATCTTAATCTAGACCCGGGTTTTATATTAATAATATATATAAACTATATAGAGATTTATATTAAAAAATTTTTTTTTTATTAAATCCCAATGAGGTTTATATTAAAAATTTTTTTTTATTCTAGATCTCAATAAGGTTTATATTAAAAAAAATTTTTTTTATTCTAGACCCCAATGAGGTTTATATTAATAAAATTTTTTTAAAAAAATTTTTATTAAATTGGTTACGTTTTTGTTAAGTTATTCTTGCTTAAAGTTATAAAAAATTTTTATTATAAAAAATTTGCTTGATTCACCCCATATATCGATGTAAATATAGGAAATGATGCTTTCAAAACATCAATCCGCTGGGTCAGTCCAAAAATTACTAAATACTCTCAAGCACTTTTAATAATATGGATGTATTGAAAACTTTTATCATTTTAGAACAATGTATTATTTTTGGGACATTAATCACCTGGGCTTATTTTTAATTAACCTGTGACCAATCGGGTGATCTGTCGGATGACCCGGGTGGCAACTTTTTTTAAACTGATCCGTTTCCACCCGGGTGGCACATCGTCCACCCAACGGGTGACCCGGGTGAAGATTTTTTAGACGGGTCAATTCACTAATACGAATATTTGAATATTTGATTGAGAAATTATCAGATTTGAAAACATTATAAACTTTAGATTTATATAACGGAAACTGACCTTGTAGACTAATTTGACATGTGAGAGGATCGGTTTTGGGAGGTTCAACTTCTCTGGATGAAATTGAGAATTAGGGGCTAATAGATTTTTTTGTTCCACGATCTATAATCTCATTGTTCAGTCATTGGATTAGCATTTAATATTAAACAAATTTACTTTTGTGCTTCATCTAATTAGATACTTATAATATGGGTTGTCGTACACTTTAAAAAAAATTCATACCTCAACTTTCATAGCTTATATCTCGATGAATTTTGAAGCTACTTGATGATTCAACAATCAAAAGAAAGCCTAGAACTTAATCTTTCTTTTGAATGTTAAATTATCAAGGTAGCTTCAAAATTCATCGAGATATAAGCTATGAAAGTTGAGATGTAGATTTTTTTAAAAATGTCAATCTGCCTGATTTCTATTGACGGCAGCCCGTATGTATCTTAATGATTAATTGAATAATTAATATTGTATATATCATTCCTATAACTATAATTAGGATTATTTGAACTTTTTCTACATAGTTCAGTAAAATTATCGTCGCAAGTTTTATGAAGTACATATTTAAAATCTGCAATCATTATTGAGTTAATGAAAGTATCTCGTAAACTTTATTTACCGTTACTAATTACCATGTTACGATCAAGTTATCGAGTTGATATTATTATTTTACGCGAATTATCGGATTGATAAGCAATATGTACAATTTTTAGTCGTCCTTATTCACCCTATCTCACATTAGGTTAATCCTTTTACTTATCGTGAATGTTTATTTGTTTGTTATACCGATTTTTTATTTGCCAAGAAAAAAAGTAAAAACAAACGAAATTAATATGTCCTTATTGGGAATTATCGTTATATAGGTTGCTATATAATGCGTAGAGCGTTTTTTCAACTTCAACAAAAAAATGACCGATCCAGAATCAAGAAGAAAAGTAAGCCCTAATTTGTTTCATTTATAATTAAATAATTTAATAATTTAATTTGGTTCATTTATAATTTAATAATTTAATAAAAAAAATTTATATCTTTAGGGAGGTTCGTTTCTTCTTACCCTAAGCTTAGCCTTTAAGTCCATAGGTATTATTCACTTTTAAATTCTTCCATTGTCAATTTCCATTATCTATTAATTATATTTTGTTTAAAACTTAGGTGTTATATATGGCGATATTGGTACTTCGCCCTTATATGGTATGTAGGGTCTAATCCTCTTTTAACAACTGCACATCCTTTAATTTATTACTTATGTAAATCATAGTGTTCACTGGAATCTTCCCGGAACCGCCTACTGACTCTCGAGATGTTTTTGGTATGTTATTTTAACAAATTTAATTTTTTGTTTAAATCCTGATTAATTTACTTTGTATTGCGTACGTATCTAGGCGCTTTATCTTTGATCGTTTGGTCATTAGTATGTTTTTGGTTTTTTTTATTAATTAAAAAAAAAGTTTTTTAAACAATAATATTGTAAGTGGAACAGAATTTAAGTGCATTCAGAATTCTTTAGTTAAACTAGTGTTATGGAGTAGATTTATCATACGTAAATCTATACCCTAACCTTAATTTACTTAGGAAATTCTGAATCACTTAAATTCAATTTCCACTTACAACAATTCTCTAATGCTAAAATTAATATTGAAATTCATTTTTTAGACGATCGTGGTATTGATAAAGTATGTTTTCATAGTACTCCGAGCTGATGATTATGGTGAAGGCGGCACGTTTGCTTTATATTCATTATTAAGTCGGTAAGTTACATATATGTTATATAAGTCACGTGAGCGTGAATACTTTTATTTTATTATGTTTATTTTTTTAGACATTCTGGTATATCTGTGCGTGGCAATGTGAATTCTGATGAAGATTTGACGACTATAAAGCATGAAGATAGCATACCAATTGACTCTGAGGGTCCAAACTTTATTAAGCGCAGTATTGGTGCGCAAACTGCTTTACTTGGTGTGGTCCTCCTTGGTTCTTCTTTAGTAATGAGTGATGGCCTTTTAACTCCTGCCATATCTGTAATTTCCGCTGTTGAGGGTATGGCCGTTATTGCGCCAAATTTAACACCCGCGATTGTTCCCATCAGCTGGTAATTTACTTATACATGTAAATTATGTAATCTTGTTTGACAAATAACCTATTTAGTAAAATATTTCTCTTTATTTTTAAATGAAGTGTTATTATCGTTGTATTATTTCTATTACAACAATTTGGCACCGGAAAAGTTGGAAATTTATTCGCTCCCATTGTTTCTTTGTGGTTTATTGCTCTCGCTTCCATTGGCATTTGGAACATTTCTCAAAATCCTGATATTCTTAGAGCCTACAGTCCTTATTTTGCTTTTGATTATTTTATTAGAAAGCAAGATGCTGGGGTAAAATATCTACATCTATTAGGTTTATTTAAATATTACTAATTAGTTATCGAAAAAAAAAGAAACTAATTATCGATTATTATTTTTCTATTTTTCTATTTTTAAAAAGTTTACTGATCTTGGTGGTGTTTTATTGGCCGTCACTGGGTAAAAAATAAATTCTTCGTTTAACAATACTTAATAACTTATAAATATGTATTATACTTAACATCATCTTTTCCCTTCGTTATCAAAAGCGTCGAAGCACTATTTGCAGACTTAGGACATTTTAGTCATACAGCCATTCGGATCTCTTTTCCATTTTTTGTTTATATTCCTTTGGTTTTAGCTTATACTGGCCAGGCTGCTCGTTTGGTTTTAGATCCCACCGTAATCTCCAATACTTTTTGGCTGACCATTCCTTCTGATCCTGGCATTTATTGGACTGTATTTGTTTTAGCTATATTAGCTACTATAATAGCATCTCAGGCTATGATATCTGCTACTTTTTCTTTGATTTACCAATCAATGCAATTAGATTGTCTTCCGAGAGTTAAGGTAATAAATAATTAATAAATATATATAATTCCCATTATTATTTTAAAATGTCAATTATTTTTATTAAAAAGGTTGTTCATACATCTGAAAAAGTTGAAGGTCAAATTTACATTCCAGAGGTAATTATAAATTTACTTTCTTTCATATTACTCTTATACTTAATTCCTTTATATTAATTATTTTATTAGATCAATTATATCTTAATGGTCGTTATCGTGTTTGTTTGTATCGGCTTCCAACATTCCGCAAACTTGTACTTTATATTTTTTTATTATTATAATATCTCTTTAATTAATTAATTATTTTTATTCTCTTTATTCATTAATTTCTTTTTATTATTTTATTTTAGGACGATTGCTTATGGTGTAGCTGTTGCATCTGTGATGATTATTACAACAACTCTCTTAACAATCGTAATTCGCGTTGTTTGGCATCGTCCTATTATTATTTCAATTATATTCTTTTGTATTTTTTTCACTGTCGACGCTTCGTTTTTGGGTGCAACCTTACGAAAAGTCGTATCTGGTGGTTGGTTTACACTGAGTGTTGCTATACTTCTTACTATTTTGATGAGCATATGGAGATGGGGTACTGTTCGTGTGTTAGAGCACGAACGTTCACAAACTCCTGATCTTAATAAACTTTTTAAAGATGAAAAAAATAGGATAAATGAGAAAATTGAAAGTAATATAAACAATGCATCTCACGAAATTATTTTAGAAAATAATAATGAGATTATTTTAGAAGGTGATAACGAAAATATTTCAATTAGTAAGATTATATCATTATTAATACTTTTAATGCTTTAATAGATTTTATAAAATGATACAAATTGTACAACTTCTTTTATTAGATACCGGAACCCATTTGACACGCTCGCCGGGTATTGGCTTATTCTATAGCGATATTGGCGCCAAGATTCCACTTTCTTTTACTCAATTTGTAAAACACTTTCCAGTCATGCCTCAAAATGTTGTTTTTATTAATATTCGAACTATAGCTGATCCAAAAGTTGGTAATAGTGATCGTTTAAGAGTGAAGAAAATTAAAAATTGTGAAGGTTGTTATCAAGTAACTGCCAGATATGGTTATACAGAACAAGTCTCACAAGGAAAAGAATTTCTTTTACAATTAGTTGAAGCAATTAGAAATATTGATCCTACTAACAAAACTTTAATTCATGATTTTAATCCTGATAATGGTTCTATTGCATATGTTGTAGGACAACAATCTCTTTGTGCTAAGCCTGATACTCCATGGTGGACAAGGATTTTAATTAATATTTATATGGTTATATATCTTAATACAAGAAAATTCTATAGTAATTGGGATATTCCTGTTGAGAATACTATTGAAGTTGGTGTAAAGATTTCGATTTAAGATATTTAAGATGCGGTTTAGTATGATTAATATAATTTTTGCAATATGTATATTATTAATATAGTATGCTTTATATTTATTTTACATGTAAAAGCAACTGGTTATTTTAGCATCAATCTAATATACGTATATAGTCACAATATTTTTCAGTAAAAAAAAAACACATAATGCGTTTGAATGTTATTTTGAGATAGTGATTGGACTCGCCAACTCGTAACATAAATAATTCGAGTTATCACGTTTCGAATCATGATTTGTGAGATTCGCGAATCTAAGGTTATAATTAAATTTTGTGATTCAAATAATTGATATCAATCACATGATTCGAGCACTCTTCTGCTCAAACAATAGTTATTCTATATTATGAATTTTTTAAAGGTTAATTTCACATACGAATTTACATATGAATTCGCACTGATTTAGGTACACATTTTTTACCTAACATACAAAGTTGCATCGCATTTTTTTTTTAAACTATAGTTCTAGACTTGCTCTATACTGTAATAGAACCATTTTTGCAATAACTTTTCATAATATTGAATAATTTTTTTTTAAAAAAGCTATTACAAAACTGGCTCTATTACGGCATAAAGCTAGTCTAGAAATATATATAATTTAAAAAAAAATACGATGCAATTTTGTATGTTAGATAAAAAAGAGTACCTAAATCAGTGCGAATTCATATGTAAATTCGTATGTGAAAATTAACCTTTAAAAAATCCGTTCATAATATTTAAACATATATATAGTATCGATAAAAATCGACTATGAATAATCGACTACAAACACTATATATCTAGAAATTTCGTTCCAACTTAACGTTAAGTATATTTAGAATCTATTTAAGCAGATTCTAAACGCAGTGAGATTTTATTTCGATGTACAACACGTATATTCCTAAACAATAATCCGGAGCAATAAACTTAGTCAAAGAAAATGATGATGAATTTTGTATGCTTGTCAATATTTATCATGAATACAGAAGTCATTTAGAATAAAATAAAAAGCTCGTACGCAATTGGATATCTAAGCTCTAAAATGATGACTTTTACGATCATATTCAAGATGTTTTTCTATGCACAGCAATTGTCATTTAATATCAACCGAATTTAAAATAATTTTTTGGAACTGACGTTTAAAAACTCTCATTTAAATAATATCTGTATCTGTTTCAAAGTAGCAATAGAATTTATTAAACCGCTTACTATTCGTATGTCTTTATAAAATATCAAGGTTAAAAATTATCAATAAATATAACTAGAGGTTGGTAAAACCCGATTTTAACCTTTAAAAATGAAACCGTTTGGCTTTACATAGTGTTGTTGTGTATCATACTAATTTGCATTTTCATAAACTTTTAAAAATCAAAAGACTACATAATTAAGTTTTTATTTAAAGATAGTAGTAAAATTTTTTGAAAAACGTTCAAATAATTAATTATCTTGAACCTCTTGATGACAAAGAGATTTTAATATAATTATTAATGTTGGTGAATCTCCAAATACCAAGGCATTCCAATAATTTTAAGACACAGGTCACTATATTTTCGTAACGAATTGGTAAATATTAATAAAGATAATAATAACATTAAAACATTTGATTTTATAATCAAAATAAGTTATTTTAGTGTATATTACGATTTATACATATTGCAAAAAAGAAAAATTAATTTATACAAAGATATATCTAGAGCATCATTTATTTTTGATCTTATGTTCATTGTTGATGAATTATCTAAATACCTTGAAACTCATTTGATTAAAGCAGAAGCTCATTGGCTCCGTTTATATTTATTTAAAAATTTTCCAGAATAATAAGCATCAAAAATTACAAAAACGGTGTAATGGTATTGTGGTAAAGTACCCTGATAAAGTTTTTGAATCGGAAGACTTCTTATCGCTTCAAGAAAGTACGTTAGTTTCACATAAGTCAAGATGATTTACAAGTGGAAGAGGTGAAAATTTGGAATCGCGTTATCAGATGGGGAATCAACTGATCCTGGAGACTGGACCCATAAAAATTTTCTAGCTTTGAAGACTACTTTACAAAATTGTTTACTTCGTATTTGTTATTTTCAGATGTCTTATGATAATATTCTTAATAACGTTCAACCTTACCATCAAATTCTTAAAAAAAAACTTTGGGATGATATAATTAAAAAGTTTGACTCCAAATCGACCAAAGTTCTTCCACCTCGTATAATTTAATACCAAAATTACCAACTAGAATTGATGTAGATCAAGCAGCAGAAATGGATAAAGATTGTACCCGTCAAAAATTTTAACTCCGGGTTACCCGCCTGCACAAAAAATCATTACCGGGTTACAAACCGGGTCACCCGGGTAAACCGGGTAACCCGGGTGACCCAAATATAAATCGAGCGTACGTATGCTTATTACAGTATTACGACCTTTAGATCGTGTTTGTTACGTATATTCATTTACTCAAAGATTTTACTTTTTAGTTTATAGGTATTAAGATCATGATTTTAAGACGTGCTAAACAAGATCTTCAAGCTTTCTCGAATCTTTGAACTTGATCATTTGATTTTAGCATTTAAAATTTACATATAGTACAAGAATAATGAAATATTCATATTGGCTTTTAAAATCTTTTGTGTTATGAGTTTAATGGTTTCATACTATTTTCAAACTTTTACTAATTAATAAGTACTTTTTTTTTAGTAAAATGTTACGATCTTAAATATTACATTTATAAAGAAGTTACTAGGTTCTTTTATAACTCATTTTAATTCATAATAGCGATCTTTGTAAGTTATAAAAAATTTTTTATTGTAGTTATACGAAATACAAATAGAAAGATCTATATCAGAGTAAGATTATAAAAATATAAAAAAGTTATGTAATATTAATTATGTTGTCATTTCTTTTTAAAAATAGTATTTGTGAAATGGTTTCTGGATTAAGACGTGTCTGTTTAGAAGTTACTTGGTTCCCCGCATCAGAAAATAGTCGTTCACTTGGCACTGAAGTAGCTGGTATAGATAAATATTTTTTTGCCAATTTGCTCAAATTTGGAAAGTCTTTTTCTCGTTCTTTCCACCAGTCTAAGGGTGACTTGGTTTTTGAGGCAATAGACATGTCTAAATATTTATCTAATTCATTAGCAGATGAATTATCATCATTATTATCCTCATCATCAAATATTGAAGCGAAGTAATGATTAGTTGAAGTTACGTTAGAATGTGTTGATTGTGTGGGTATTTCGTCAATAATATTGTTATATTCTTCATGGCATATTCTAATTGTTTCTTTCCGTAGTTCTTTAGACCAAGGGCACATTTTCTTGAGCCTTGGATCTAGTAAAGTTGTTATAAGTCCAGTGAACATTGGAGTTCCCCAATATTTCCAAAGTGAATTGTAAATTCCCCGCTTAACTTGAGCAATTGTTAATTGGATGTTAAGGATATCTTGAGTATAATCCTCTTTGTCTTTGCTACCTTCGTCTTCGCTACCACTGTATATATTTGATTCTGAAGATAAAAACTAATATTAATATTTTATAAACTAATACAATTTTTTTTTTTTTTTGTTGTTTTTTATTATTATTATTATTATTATTTTTTGCATTTATTTATTTATTTACCTATTATTTATTTTTCATTCTTATTTTTACAAAAAAAAAAGTACATACCATATTCATCATTTAGATCATAATCATCATCGACTAAGGGCAGATTTGGATCTACTGCGAATTCGAATTTCAGGAGTTCAATGATGGGATATACGACTGATAACATAGAGTACTTTTCAGCACTAAATGCTTCTGTTGCATGATCAAATTTTTCAAAAGTTTTAACTAATTCTTTGATTAATTTCCATTCATTTTTATCAGGCAAGTATCGTTTAAGTTTTTGCCCATCTTTTCTGTTATCTGAGTTTCGTGAAATGTTCAAATTTACCTCTAGCCATATAATTGCATCTTTCAATTTCAACAATCTTTCCCAAGACCGATATTTAGAATTCTACCGTGTAGGACAGTCTTTAATTGGACAAAGGGGCTTAGAAGTAGTATTTACATTTAATTGTTTTTCTGATTCTGTATTACTTCCATCATCAATTTCACCAACCTCTTCATCATTAAGGTAAACTTCAGTATAAGCTTCAGCATGAACTGAGCTAGAAGACGGTAATGTATCTCTTTCCATTACCCTTATTTGTGCTTTCTCTAATCTTTCTTGTTGCTTTGGTGAATCAAAAAAATGAACTAATTTTTTTATTTTTTTTGTTTGTGAGCGAATTTTTTGCAGAGCAAAATTAACTGTTAATTGTAAGGTGTGCGCAGCGCACAGGAGTCAGACAATGGTATTCCACAACCTAATAGCTTTTATCATGTTGGAACCATTATCAGTAACAGCACACACAATCTTATTTTCAAGATTAAATTCTGTGCATTTGTTAATAAGAAATTGATGAATGGACTCAGCAGTATGTGGGTATGATATTTTTTCACAACATAATAACACGCTCTGGAGAGACCAATTAGGAGTTATCCAATGACAAGTGACCCCAATATAACCTTTGTTATTATGCGAGGTCTATAAATCTGCTGTTAATGCAGCAGTCTCACAAGATGATGTAATTTTTTGTTTAAGAGTATCTATATTTTTTAGGTAATTTAATAATATTTCATTTTTTATTAGCTTATTAGAAGGCAGATGAAACTTTGGATCAATTATTGCCTTCATACGACGAAATCTCTTTTTTCTTGGTGCTGATAAAGGTTCATTATCCAGAAGAATCCATTCAATAACTTCTTTGACTATTTCTTTTCATCTTTCACCTTTATGTGGAGTATTAGTATTAGATTTGATCATTGCTGGTAATGTAGCTTGTCGTTTTTGTGGGGTTTCGGGTTTTAATTTTTTGCTATCCACGATATTATGAGATTGTAGGTGAGCAATCATATTTGATGTTGAATTATCGTGAATATACTTCGTTTTGCACTTTTTGTCTACACCATTTTTTTTAATTATAACT